ATATTCTTTAACTTTACCAGACTTGTTGGATTTAGGTCCATTTCTGCTGTTAGCTACTCATAGTTTCTCTGGTTGTGTTAAGAAGTCCTCCAGGGCAGTGATGGGCTTATGTTGGCCACTGAACAAGTGAATTGGAGAGGTATGGGCTCCAAAAGTGAATTTAGTTTTCAAAAGCAAACACTGCATATCTTAGAGAATTTCTCTCATTGTGGTATTTTGTCTTTCCCTTTGGTGGATATCATCCATGGCTTTGTTTTCCAGTTTCTTTGTGCCTACTTTCTGTACCATCTTTGGCTATATTTCCACATCTCGTCATCCCAGGAACCAAAAAATCCAACTTGTTTCCCATCTATAGTATTTCTCTGATCTTCTATAACTCAGAAATACAATGCAGGGCTTCTTCTCACTCAGCTCTTTCCGGGTTTGTTCTGCAGCTGTGGAGTTCGAATGTTAGTGTTTAAACAAGCTGGTATTACACAGGAAATGGCCACCTCCACAGGCCCCTGCAGGCTTGTAACATGGGGTCATTGTACTTGATATTAATCACCAGTCAGCCTCTTCCCCCAGTAAAAATATGAAGGAGTGTGTGAGTACTTAGTCCTCCTTAGTCTTTCTAGAAAGAAAGACTTGAGTTGAGTCCTGGTCAGACTTTTCCAAACTGTCACTGTTCCTTGGCCTCACCCCAGTTGTAGCTTTTACAGGAGTCCTAACTGACCCCTTCCCTATAAACCTGACAATTCTGACTTCTAGGTTCTAGGTAAGGAGGCAGATTGTCATGGTATAACATGCCTCACATATTGCACCTTAATCTTTCAGGGCATGTTTTAGTTATATAACATATCCTATGCGAGATCTCTAGAATTTTAGAAATGCAGAAACCCACTGGCCCACCTTAGAGCAGAGCTTCTTAGCTCCCTGAACTGAAGTGCCTTTTCTTAATGCTATTTGCAGAACTAACCCCAGCCTGAAGGGTTAATCTGATTCCCCAAGTCAATATTCCCCAAACAACCAGCCAAGAGTGTGTGTTGGTTCATTTCTGTGAAATGTGTTTCCCCAGTCACCTGGGCTGGCCTGGGCTGCATTGTATCGGCCAGCAGCTGCACTGCACTCAAACTGACAGCTACATTAAACCTTGGAATTCTAAGGCAATAAAAAGTAAATTAACTCTTTTTTTTTTTTTTTTTTTTTTCCTTTCCTGGTGGAGTAAGTGAATGCATGTCTATAGGGAAGTGAGTGGGCTTTGGTTCTGAGTTCATACCTCTAACTAGTCACTACTGGTCTGTCCCAGGCTAGGATCTGGTGTTCAGACTCCAGCTAAGGATCTGCTTACCTGGTGTGTGGTGTGTTCTGTGGGACGGGACCCATGGGTCACCCTGTAACTGCTGATCGCTGTGTATTAATCACATCCCAGCTGCTGAGACTCCCTTGCCACCATTTGGGGCGCCATGAATGGGTTTATTGAGCACAATTTCATATTCTCTGGCTGCTCTGTGTCTGTTTGGTGTTGAATGCACCCTAACATTAGTAGGATTTGGTGGACTTTGGGAGCTTCCCCAAAATATAAGTTGAACTAGAACAAGTCAGAAGGATTTTACTGAGCCCCAACACTCTAGAGGGTCCATAGAAAAATCAAAGGTGAGATTATCAGAAAAACCTTTTGGGGAGTCATTTCCAAAGCTTTCCCAGAAGGTTGGGAGCTGTTTAAACAGCTCCTCATACGCATAAGAATTTGATCTTGGGTTCTTTAGCCAACATTGAATCCTTAGGGTCCAAGAGCTAGTATAGGGGATGAAGGTTTAAAAGACACTGGTTGAAATAAGAAACTAAAACAGGAAGAAGTTACACTTTTCTCCTTGTATTCAGACAGGAAACTGTTCAACCATGGAATTGACCTCCCAGCCCAAAGACTTGATTAGGGTAAGCTGAGGTCATATTGCCACTATTCCAGAAATTAACTTGTCCCCTTTCAAATGCCAGCTCAGGCATTTCACCTGCATTTTCAAAGCACCTCTCCATTTTTTTAGTATTAGTTTCCTGATTCTCTTCACATCCAAACACACTGCTGTAGAGAATCACTAAATAGCCTAGGCATACCTATGTGATTGTGTTCATGTCTGTGGTGTTCAGTGAAATGAAATAACTTATGGTATGAAATGTGATCTGAGCTTGGACAGTCCCACTGAGATACCAAAAGAAAGCAGCTACTCAGAATCAGAGTTCAAATATAAGATTGGGCTGAATTGACCAGAGCAGAAGTGACCTTTCATTGAAACATTTTATGTATTCCCTTGGTTCTTATCAGTCTAGGTTGACCCTTGGACCATTTTTATTTATATTTCTGAGTTGGGAACTTGTGATACTTCCTATGTCTTTTGGCACTAGATGCTGTCTTACAAAATCAACATTAGGGTAGGAGCTCTCATTTACCTTATTTTTATAATGAGTCTTAAGGTTTTGGCACAAGGTGGGTGGTAATAGGCAAAAGGCAGATGTGGGCAGGGGTCCCTAGTGGTGGCCAACAATCTCTGGGAGGAGTCACTTTTGGTTTATCTGAGCCTTAGGGGACAGGAGAGCATAGTAATGAGAACCACATGGTACCACATATTTCTTCCTTTTGGATCCAAGATGGTAGGGGTGGGAAGATAAGAGGGTTTTGGGGCCTCCCACAGTGGCAGCCGTGGGTGATTTTCTGCCGCCCTTCCCTGGCTGGGATGCTGCTGCTCACACCCTTACCCTACCCCCCAATTATGTCCTACTGCGACCTCAACCTGCACAGCACCAGCCAGGGCCCCAAAGCCAAGAATTCAGCTTGGAGACTTTTCACCTTCTTCCTTCTCACTGTCGTCTTTCCTGTTTATTTTCTAAATTGCTGCTCTGCAGTAGAGCAGTGCTTGTTGGCCAAAGCTCACCAGCACTGTGGGATCAGACTCAGGCAGTGGGCTCAAGTGGCCAGCAGGGCACAGGGGGAGGAAGTGGAGAACTGGAAGAACCTCCCTGTGCGTCTCCCATGGGCAGCACTAACCTCAGAGGCAGCCCTGAACAGCCCTATCACATCCGGTGCTTGTCTCTGCAGCCGGGACCAGAGGATAAACTATCAGAGCTGTGGGGCAGTGCATCATTCCTCTTATTATTTTCTTCTCTGCAGATGGGGTCGTGGAAAGTTCAGTTCCTTTTAACCCTCAAAGTTCTGTTTATTCTACAGCTGGTAGCCTGAATGCTGCGTTTCCCATTACATCACAAAGGGGCTCAGGCAGATCTCTGCACAGAAACGTGTTGCAACTGTTTATTTTTTTCCATATTTAAACATTTCTGACAGCCAAACCAGGCTGAGCCAAAAGATGGAGCTTTGTGAATGAGTCTGGTTGTCAGTGTCTGTGCAGAGAGGCTTTAGAAAACTCTCATCCCTCTGGTGATTCTTCTCAAACATGTTCTTTTTCCTGGGCAAAGCCTGTGAAGTGAGTTACTTCTGCAGTACACGTGTGTTGATTATGTGCTGTTGTGTGATTAATGGGGGTATGTTCCACCTGGTTCCCAGGACACTCTTGAAAACAAGATGTTTCATTTCATTGCCTTTTCCTAGTGCAGTGAATACAGTAAATAAACCATTGCAACCTCTTCCACCTGGAGCCAATCACGGAGTTCCCATACCTCTCTCCCTCCTTCTCCTCTAGCATCACCTTCAGTGACATATCCCTTGAATGCCCTGTCTTCTGCCATCTCCCAAAGGTTCTTAGTCTCAAGGAAAAATAAATTGCTTAGGTCTGAGGCCCCTCCCTCTAGACAGGATTTATGCATGGTCACTCCCCCTGGGAGATTCCAGGATGATTCTACAACCCTCCTTTGCTTATTTTCTTTTGTGCCCCACCTCCTGAACCTAATTGTGAAACTTTTCTTTGTAATTCTTCTATACATTTTGTTCCTTTTGGAGTAAAACTTATCACTCAGAGGTTATTGCTTATTCCAGATTTCTAGGTTAGGAGCTCTTGCTTATTCCAGATTCCTAGGTTAAGGGCTCTTCTGGAGGAGAAAGACAAATCTATAAATTTGGCAGGCAGTGCATTGACCACAACTTGAGATATCCCTGGGCAGGCACTCACCAAACTGGGAATTTGAACCCACAGTAGATGAAAACATGTGATAATGGATAAAGAAATGAATCCTCTTTTGTAATTCTATTTAGAATTTTAAATGAGAGCTAAACTTCGCATTTAGAGGTTTTCTTCTCAGGTTCCACCAGGGCTTGCAATCATGATGACCAGCCATCCTGCTTTACCCAGAACTGGAGGGTTTAGAGAGATATGATACCTTGAGTGTTGAAGGTGGGACAATCCTAGAATGACTAGTCAACCTGTATCTAACCGTCTGTAAGTGAGAGACGGGAGGGAATGGGATGGTCAAGACAGCACTGATAGTGGTTCATCTGCTGAAATGTTTGAGAAGCTTTACCTTCTTGAGTGGATTTTGCCAGGCCAGGAATTAGGTTTTCTTTGAATCTGTGGTTGATTGGAAGAGATTTCTAAAGCACAGAAAAAGGAAAACCCACAAAACTCTGCAGTGTGACTGGACCCCCTCTAGCTGTGTTTGGAAGAAGAAGGCTGGTGTCATTGCTGTCTGTGTGATACATACTTGGTTGCTGAAGGAAGGGGAGATTCTTGGAGCTGCCTCAGGCACTGGGTATCTAGAATGTTTCAGTAAGCATTTCAGCATTGTCTGGAAAGGAGACAGGACTTGCATTAGGCAACTACTTCTCCAAATTCTTTTGCCCTCTCTGGTTAGGATTTTAAAACTCCCCCTAATCAATTTAAACTTTGTACAGAGGGACACTCATACCTCCATTACTGCCTTGGGCACAGTTTTAAATTCTAGCATTTTTAGTATGATTTCTTGGCAGCTGCCAGCTTGGACAACATTTGCTGCAAGTATTCTGCACACAAATGCTGAGTGTACTTTTATGGGTCCCTCTTTAGACATGCTCTTCTTTCTGACCTTACTTTTCACAGGGTTGCTGTGGATGTATGGTCAACGCTTGCTGATTTCTGTAACATACTGACTGCAGTGAATCAGTCTGAGGTGCCACTGTACAAGGACCCGGATGATGACCTCACCCTTCTTATCCTGGAAGAGGATCGGCTTCTCTCAGGCTTTGTCCCATTGCTAGCTGCCCCTCAGGACCCCTGCTACGTGGAGAAAACCTCGGATAAGGTCAGCACAAGGCCAAACATCTCTCCCCATTCACCCCTCCTCTTATTTCTCCAGACTTTTTTTTATTCTTGGGAAGTTTTCTGTGCAAACGGAACATGATTAAGTCATTGAAAAGGGTGTTAAGGGAAAATATCGACCTTTTAGCCGCTGACATCCAACTCTATGTCCTGAAAAAAAGCCTTCCCAACTTCCTTTGGGGTGTGTGTGTGTGTGTGTATGCGCGTGCGCGTGTGTGCGCTCACTGGCATGTTGTATATACGATCATTTCCTCACTTGTTTAAATAGTGCAGCTTGTGTTGGCAGTGCTCTCACTCATCTCCAAATGGTTTGCATCATGCTTAAAGCACCCTCCTTCCTCCCCCCTTCCTTCTTCCCCCAGCCACAAAACTCTACACTAGGAAAACAGCCAGGGCTTTTTCCCTTCTCTAAGGAGGAGAGTGATAAATAGGTGACTAGAGAGAAGCAGACACCATGTGTTAACTTACAAAAAAAGCTTTTAGGAATATGAAACATTCCTCGCTGCCTGGTTTCTATTTTCCTTCATCTAAGGACTGTATTTTAACCTGAATTTTTTTGGTTTTGTTTGTTTTTTGTTTTTTCTTTGTTTTTTAGTCTGTTTATACAAAATAAAGCCCATTCCCTGTTGCACTGGTAAGGACTGTGGAGCTCCTGGTCTCTGCTTAACAGTTGGGTCTTCAGCCAAGTAGAGAGTAAAACAGTCTGGGCTGCTTCATTTTCTTGTGAGAGCCCTTCTGCTAAGAAAGTAGTATCCACGGACCTTGTGGGCAAAGTCTTTTATGCTGAGACGGGGAGACCCTATGTCTTACTTTTCTTCAGGGTCTTTAGCATCATATCTCAATGGGGGAAAGTCCTTTGGGTAGGAGTCCATGGATGACGACTTCTAAGGAAGAAGTCTTTTGACCTAGAAAAAGTATACACTAGGGACAAAGATAGAGGTTTTTAAAGAAGTCAATAAAAATAAATTCCAAGCTGGGTGTGGTAGTGTATCTTTGTAATCCAAACTACTAGGAAGGCTGAGGCAGAAGGATTGTAGCTTCTAAGCCACCCTCAGCATTGTAATGAGATACTGAGCTATGTGTGGTGGTACCTGCCTATACTTCCATCACTTGGGAGGCAGAAGCAGGAAGATGGCCATGAGTTTGAGGCCCTCTTGGGCTGCATGACTTCAAGGCCAACTTGAATTACTTAGTGAGACCTAACTTTAAAAAAAGTCTTGAAAATGTGGTTTTATATTGAATATAAAATTTTAAAACCTTGTTCTCAGTATTTATTCGTTGTAGAATATTTTTAAAACACAAAAATATATCTAATCCCATTATTTAGAGTTAATATTGCTGTCACTTTTATAATCATATTTAATTTTCAGTACACACACATACACCTTTCTTTCGCTCTTTTTTTTTTTTTTTTTTTTTTTTTTTGGTGGTACGGGAATCAAACTCAGAACCTTGGTGCTTGCCTGGAAGGCGCTTAAGCTGCTTAGCTGTCTCACAGGCCCCATTTTTTTTTTTTTTCTTTTTAATACCATTTGTGCTAGGGTAGGCTAGGGATGAGGCTCAGTGATAGAATGTTTCACTAGCAGGCACAAGATTCTGGCTAACTGAGCTGATTAGAATGGGTATATCAGAGAGAATGTTTAGGAACTCAGCCCTTTAGAAATTTGAAGAAGAGAGACATTTTTTCATACTTCTACTGGTCATTACAGAGAAATGTAAAATATCTCATGAACTAACCAATGGCAGCAACATGATCACTTTCATTACTGGTAATGATTAGTCACAGTTTTGGTCTAGCTTGGATGCTCATTCAGCAGACATTTACTGAGTATACATTGCCCACACTACATGGAACATATAAGGCAAATATTCTATTTTGGGTCATATATAAAGATGTCAATAACAATACATTTTATTTGAGCTGGTAGTAATCCCATGAAGGCATTGCTTTATGATCGTTGATTTGGCACTTATCATTTCTCAAACATGTTGTATGGAGCTCTAATTTTGTAGGTTTTGAGTTTTTTGTAGAAAATTCTTTGTGATATGATCATATGTAGACATCTGAAAGGTAGTGCAGTATAGCTAGTGAGAAAGGGGAGGACTAGAAATGTTTGTGTGACTTCAAAAGCCATGTTCTAATGAATGATTTGTTATCCAGGATTTACTTCAAATAAGCTGGGCAGAGGGAGGTAACAGTATAAATTAGAAGGAAAAAGAACCAAGTATTACTCATTTTTAATCTGAGTAACAAATATTTTGAGACCAATATAGTACTTCACTTTTTTTGTTTGTTTGTTTGTACCAAGAATTGAACTCAGGACCTCATACTTGCAAGGCACATGCTGCACCATTAAGCTAAATCCTCTTTACTTTTGTATATGTGTGAAATTTTCCATGTATACTTTCAGAGGAAGCACAGCCATTCTTCATAAAATCTTTATTTTAAACCATTTTTTGTGGTACGAGGAATCCAACTCAAGGACTTTATTAATGCTAGGCAAGGGCTTTTTTTCACAGAGCTAAGACCTCACCAGGTCTGGATAGCCATTTTTAAATCAAAATAAATGAACCAAACTGCCCCTCCTTTTTTCTTTTGAAATAGGGTGAATCTGTGTGGTTCAGGCTGGCCTTGAACTTTGAACTATGTAGCCTAGGCTGGCCTCAAACTTGTGATAACCCTCCTGCCTCAATCACAGAGATACTGGGATTAAAGGCATGTACCACTATGCCTTGCCCTTCCTGCCATATATAATTCCTTGAGTTCTGGAGGAAGTAATAATGAAGTTAAAATTTTTCAGCCCCTAAGCTATGTTCTATACACATTATTTCATTTCTCATACACAAGATAAAATAAAACAGTAATTTTAAAAAACAGAAAGTTCAGGTTGTGTGTTTGAGCTTCATAAATGCTGTCTTGTTTTGTTGATACAGGATCTCACTTTGTAGTGCAGGCTAACCTTGAACTCACTATGTAGTCCAGGCTGGCATCAAAAATCCTTACCAG